ATCCTCCTGACGTTACATTTAAATTTTGTACAATTTCAAGTCATTTTTAAGGGCAATCATCTTTTTTCTTACACTAAATGAATGAAAATTAAAGTATAGGGAATGAAATTAATAGCTACCCAATTTATACGGTATAAAGTGGGTTGGAAAAGTATACGCTTTTTTCTAAACTACTTCGCTTTATAAAGCGTAAACTGAACCAACCCACTTTATACCGTATAAATTGGGTAGCTGTTAATTTCATTCCTTAAATACATTATAATAGACAAAAGAATAACTAAAACAGAATTTTCATGAGAAGAGCTAGATGGATTTCTTCCAAAATCTGAAAATAAATGTAATATTAAGGAGGGATTCTTGTCTGGTTTCTGACTAGATGAAATATTCAAAGTATATTTGCTTAATATATGTTGTATATATTTAGATGCAAGAGCTTTAAAAGATCATATTTTTCTTTCCTCATCACAATTGTACAACTTTAAATAAAATGGTAAACTGAGTTTGAAATCTATCAGGGAATATAATTTGGCGGAATGGCGGCGTATGAAAATATCTTCTTTTCTGCCTCTCAAAATAATTATAGAACAATGAATTTAGTTATAATTTTTACACAATCAAAGACTTGGAGAAAATTTTTAAATGCAAGTTAATGATAAGGAACTAAAGTTTTAAAATATATCAAATAAATATGATTTTCCATACAAACTACAATTATGTTAGCTTTTAAAAGCTTCCAATCTAAGTTCAGATTTGAGCCAAAAATTGGTAAAAAGTTTTTTTTCTCTCTTAGTAAACGGTCAAAACTTTTTGTTTTTATATCATTTTGTATATTTATGTGACAACTTTACCAAATGTGAAAATAAGAAAAATTTAAATATAGGAAGCATATAAAAATAACTAAAATATCTTAAAATTTTAAGAAAAGTAGAGAAAATACGGATTACCCAATATCCATTTTAGTTAAATTACTTATGTCAATTTGGTAATATCATCTTATAGACCTAATAAGAGAAACATTTAATTTATTGAAATGGAGGTAGGCATTGCATGGTTGGCAACAGTATTTTTTTTATTCTTAATGTCCAGGGAAAAGGTACTGACCTTGACCTGACCTTGCCTCTAATATAAAACTTTCAAATTTAATCCAACTGATACCATCACTTAGTGATATTGTCTTCTTGATTCTGTGAAAATTTCATTGATTTTTAAATATAAGAAATAGGTGTTCTTATGAGAAGAATCCCTTCTTAAAGGGTTAAAATGATGAAAAAAAGAAATTGAATGAAATTGAAAAACTGACAAAAATTTTAACCATCGCAAAAATTTAGGTGTCAAAGATCCGTTTAGTGAGTGGGCTCAAATAAGTTGGCATTGGTTTTCATATATTTAATCAAATTCTTCTAAAACTTGCACAGGTATTAAAAAAAGAATAAGTACATGTACATGGCAAACTAGGACATCAAAAGAAGTTCGTATTGTTTTGTTTTTAAATGAATTTAAGCGGAGAACCACACGTTTCTGGTCAAAGACATGTAAAGTGAATTCATAGTATTAAGAAAGGTAGATTTACTTACCGTTTTCATCGAACTTGTCTGTACATGTATTATCCTGTGCTACGGATGACATGACATGATAAGCGGGTTAAAGAAATTCGTATAACAAAATACTTCTTCATTTCAAATCTGCACCTTTTCCATACAAAACAGCTGATAATCAATGTTGATCAAACGTTTGAGTTAATATAATTCCACTTACTATAGAAGCAGTCGCCCGCGTGGCGCAGTGGTTAGAGCGTCTGCTCTAGAGTCGCGAATTAAGGAGTTGATCCTACGTCGCGGGTTCGAATCCCACTGTGGGACGTGAAGACCGGTCCTTCGGATGAGACCGTATAAACCGAGGTCCCGTGTCGCAGTAGGTGCTGGCACGAAAAAGATCCCTCATTGCTCAATGGCCGTAAGTGCCGAGTATAGGACAAAATTTGCAGCTCTCCACCGGCAAGTGGTGGCGTCTCCATATGAGTGAAAAATTCTCGAGAGGGACGTCAAACAACATACAAACAAAATTAACTATTGAAGCGTTTTGGTGATTTTATGAAGAGTTTCAATTTCACCTGATATAACCACATATGCGGGGTGTATACTTGTTGGAAAGAGGGTGTCTCCTCTATAGGCGATGGGAATGTGATACATCGCTTAATGTGCTTTAACTGTTTAAATTTGCATTTTTGGATATATTTCGCTGGAAAGCATATGCTTTTGTAGAGAAGCATCAATTTAGGACTTTATGGAAACGTATGAGTGGATTTGACACGCAATGATCAAATATCATGGTGACAAGACATTGGTTTATTATATTAACTTTTTATTACTTATAATCATATTTCATTTCAATAAATTATATTGTTTGTGAATAAATAATCCGAATTGGAATATACTGACAAACAATTCAGGTTTAATGAAAGGCTACATTGGCCACTCTCTCACCTCGAGGGGATAGATTCCATTCACAATAGAGCTAGTATACATATCGCAAGTTGTGTTATACCCAGTGATTTATCGGTGTTCAGTGAATTTGTTTAGGACAGAATCAGTTCATTTCGGACCAAAATGGCGTTTCGAACGGAAGTACGCCATGTTTTGACGTTGTAGAGAGCCCCCTTAAGCGCGGTTAAACCGGATGCGGTGGGCTTAAGTCAAAATGCTAGACAGTTCGCACGTCTTTTTTAAAAGAGAACTCGCCCGTCATTGGGAAAAATCGCTATAAATCTGTACATCGTATTTATTTATTAGCATATCCAAGGTTTCAATCTACTCTTTCATACAAATATTTTATACGTAAATAAGTATATTCAACTATAGTTATGTATATGGATGGTAAAAATAATATTTGCAGTTATAATAAGATTGGGGTTTTCATGGCACAAGTATTTTAAAAAGGAGGAAGAAATATGACTTTACAGCTTGAATTTAAATTAATTCAAAGATTTGGCATTAAAAGATAGGACAGATTTGATTTCAATTCGATCAAGGTTTTCATAGTTATAGTTCATCAGCAAGAACAATGTTAATTTCGAATACAATTCAAATCAAGCGAGACCAGCAATAAAAAGATTTTATGGCCCCGTGGCCAGAGGAGGACATTTCACTTTTTCATTCCCTGTTGCTTTGATCATGACTTTAAAAAGACGAATCATTCATTAGGTGATCAGCAACAACATACTCAAGTTTGAATTCCTTTTAATCAAGGGTTGTGGAGTAATAACCCATTTACGAATTTAAAGAAACAGACAGACGGACAGTAGGACAGCTAGTATATATAGGCAGTGACACAAACACGCCAAATCCAATGTTTCTTTCCAAATGGATTCACATGATAAAAACAAATACAATCTTTTACAGCTTTTACGAAAAAAAGACAATACTGCCTTTTTTAGTCCCCTCCTGGTGAAACCGGAGGGGACTATAGGTTTCCTCTGAGTCTTTCTATTAGGGCTGTCACGGTTCCAAAATTTTTCGGGTCGGGTCGGTTCTGTAAATTTTCGGGTCGGTTATTTACATCTATTTTAAACCTTAATTTCATGAATTTAACTTGAAAAATCTTTATTTGTTACATTAAATTTACATTGAAAACAAGTCTTAACCATGCGTGAAGACATCGGTGACTTGGCCTACTATTAGCCACAACCTGACAATTCCTGCTCGTTTTGATAATTATCTATTACTTCCGTGACAAGTCTTTTGTCATGGAATGAAGCAGATTTCAGTTGTGATGTTTATTTATCACTGTTATCGTCATCATTCCTTTGATTTCGACGCCATTTTTTGTATTGAACAGACTCTAATATATAAACCAGACCCGAACCGAAATCCGGAAAAATGGAACCGGAAGCGAACAACTTGGACCGCGGTTCTCGGTTATTTCGGGTACTCGTGACAGCCCTACTTTCCATCCGTTTGTCTGTCCGTCTGCCCCTCTGTCTGTCTGTCAGTCTGTCCCACTTGGTTTTCCGCACTTTTTTTTTTCTAAATTCGGTAGGGGACTAATAAGCAGTACTGTGTTGAGCGGGATATGACTCCTGTCCATACAATAAAAGAGATGTTAACGATGGAAAAACAGAAACATAAATCTCGGACACAGGTTTATCCCTAGCTGAAGGGGTTTGAGGATGGCTTGACTGGTTATCCGATGAAAGAGGCGTTTTGAAGACCAACAAAAATGAAGACAAACTGAAAGTCAGAAGCTGAACATCATAGATCTAAGTGAAGGCCGCCTTTAAGCAATGCGAACTGTTGGGGTTATTATCGGGATGGAAAAATTGTCTATTAAAAGAATTAATTCCGCAATGTTTTTGATTAACACTAGTATTTGAGATGTATAACTCGGTAAATAAAAGAAAATTAAATACAGTGACTAATTTATGCTTAAACGAATTTTATCAGAAGCACATTTCCAGAACAAGTTCACAAACGCCACAAGCTACGTTTTGACGTCGTCAGTGTTGCGCCGACAACTGATTTGTTAGATTCGTTTACCGGAGAAGGAAATAATATTTATAGAGATATTTCATTGAAATTTTTATGCATTGTTCAAAAAATGTTGATCAAGATGTATGCCAATTTTTACCTTTATAGTATTAGTGAACAAAATTTATTGAAAATGTTCGCGTATTTCTGGGACGATCTACGTAGAAGATTGTTAGAATGATTTATTTTGGTGAAAACTGGGCAATGAGAAGTATCTGAACCATATTAGAACTCCTGATTGATTTGAATTCAGACTTGAGCATGGTGACAAATCACCTAAATAGGTGCCCTTTGTTGCTGACTCATGATTACAGTCTAAATTAAGTCTAGATTAAAGTCTACATAATAAAAGACAGGTGATGTCTGGGTGAGGTTTCTGTAACAAGTTTAAAGTTTGAAATTGAAATAACATTTCTAACGGAAACTCTGGGCGACGGTAAATCTTTAAAATTGTAGAGAATAATCTTTTATGTTTAGGTTCGTGTCAAACACAGAATGTCATGGAGAAACACAGCCTATAGTCCTGTTTGTGACGATGATTATAAGGATAGTGGCACACGGAGGACTTTCGACAGCGTCAGCTGTTTCAGTGGATGTGACAGTTGGACATGGAGCAGTCCCTCTCTTATTTCGGTGTGTACGGACTTCAGTACCTCTGAGGACTGGGCAACTTACGAGGGGGAATTTGATGTTTCTGTACCATCTTCTTCGACATCCTTTGTCGTTGGGTAATAATGATATTTTGCATAATCAGACATGGTTAAGTTCATAGCTTTGAATAATTGTCAGATATAATGTAGTTTAAGAAAAGAAAACGCTTTTCAATACCCGTAGTATTATCAATAATTAGAATGAGGAGGAGGAGAATAATAATTTTTTAAGGGAACCAGGGGTACCCTCTTCTTTGAAAGTTTAAAGTCTTTGACCATTTGAACCAGGAATATGTTTTGCCTCTCCCTTTTGAATTGCCCTTCCCCACAGAAAGAAATGCCTGTACAGGCTTGAAAGTAGTAAAGCTAATTATGACACAGCTTCTGGACAGTTCCTTATCATGGTTGTCTCCCTAGGTATTCTTCGTGTTGTTGGATAAGCACACTGGCGTTGAACTCCGACTCCAGCTGGATGATTGCAACACGTATAGACCTTACGTACCGACAAGACATAGGTGGTATCAACACTTCCCCAGTAACAGCCATGCAACCCATCGTCCGCCTTCAACGTGGTTGCAGTCACAGTATAAAAATACCAGGTATATCAAAACCGCAGTTTAATGAAATCCAAACAAACATCCAGTTGGTAAGCTGGCAATTACATGGAGTCATGTCGATTGGCTAAATCCTTATATATGGTAACGAATTAATTACCAATTTGAAATTATGAATTCTGAAATTCGTATTTTCAAATTAATTCAAAATAACAAATTTTAGAATTCTTTAAAAACTAATTCAATTATTTCAGAATAAGTTCCTTAAAACATTTGTTATAATGAATTAAGTTCGTTATATTGAATTCAGAAATGTTTTTGAAAGGTTCTAAATGGCATGGGATTCTGAAAGTGTATGAATCCTCAAATTTACTGAACTATCATTACTGCTGCATCTCAATTTACGTTCCAATAAATATGAAATTTTGTACCTTACAGATCTGTCTTAAATTAGGAATGAAATATAATTTATATATATACTAGTACCTAAGCCATTATACGGATGCACTTCATAACTTGAAATTGAGTTTCCCCTTTTATTTATTCAGAAGAATATTCACAATGATAAATTTGTTTTATAGAACTACTGCAACGTATCTTTATTTTAGAACTATCTTGAAATACAATATTGGTGTCCTTTGTTGTAAGATTTATTGAATGTATATTAAGTTGCTGACGATGACGGAGATACGGTGAAGTGTAGATGGGGACAAAATTCACCAGTTGATGAGTGTAGTGGAATCTGTAATTCTTTCCCGGGTGCTGTTTTGAATGAGGTATTTGTAAATGTCTTACAATGTCTGAGAATTATTGCTGATCAAATATGAATAAATATAACCAAATAATAATAATAATAATAATAATAACAAAATAAAATAAATAAAAAATAATAAAAATAATGAGTGGAATGTTTTAGTTGACCTAAGTGCTTAAAGTACTTGACCCGTGAAGGCAATTACACTATAAAATGTACTTTTTATCTACATAATACACATATGCATTTTGAACTAGTTTTTTTGACATAAAAGGGAATAATTCAAGATATAAAGTCAAGTTTATATACTTTTTTTGTGTTTTAACCGTAAATACTGGACTGTAAGTATTGCACAATTTTGTTACGACTTGATGTTGCCAACACTTTTTGAATTTTTGTGTTCTATATGGTTTTACTTTTAAATTTTACTGCATTTGGGAGTGTAACAAAAAAACTGTTTTATAATTATCAATGAACATCTATTTTTACTAAAAAAATAAATTGCAGAAAATGTTTTGATACTCTTTGATGTTCAAAACATTATGTCTATCAACAAATTACAGATATATTTTTTGGGCAATTTACGGTCAATTCAGAGAATACTTTTCATTACCTAACATATATTTTTAAATACAATATATATATTACATATTGCAAAAAATTATGTTTTTAAGTCTTGACAATATGAAAAACGTGCCATAAGTGATACAAAATGTCAAAACGACGAACAAATTTACAAACTTCGAAAATAATATAAGATATGGTACCTTTAAAATCGTGTATTTTTTGTAAGAAAACTTGTATATCTTTTTTTTGCCTTAGATTTAAAGATTTTACTTAAATGGACCAAAAATATTTTTTGGGGTATTTGTTGTTTCATATTAAAACATTTAAAACCAGAATTGAAAAAAATAATGTAAAATAACATTCAAATTTCTTTCACATATAAAAGAGAAGAAACTCTTTGAAGGTTTAGATGTAATCATTTACATGTATGTCCCTTAATTACATCCCTTAATTGAAGCATAAAAAAGCGATTATAATTTCTTTGGGTTAAGTATTTTAGAAAGTCTTTCATGTTGCATTGATATTCTCTTTTTCAAATTAAGTTTTACTAATAAAAATTCTGAAATTTTTATGCAATTGTCTATTGTATTGCCAATAAAGAAATTTTAACTAGAACGCATGTAGAGTATGATGATATAAGTGAAATATATGTTATGGTTGATTGAAATTTTTTTTAAAAAAAATTCAATTTGGTGGTCATTATTTTTTAATTCTCCCTCATTTTAAATATCTTTATCTTTTTGTGATTTCATTCAAAAAATTTATTTTTGGAAAAAATAATATCACCTTTATATAAATAAAACATTTACTAGTATATGCAACGATTGTGAGAAATATAATTTACATGCAAGGATACTGAGAAATATAAAATGCTTTTTATTCAAGTTAGTTTGAAATTAAAATTATTGAATTGTACTGTTAATCCCTTCGAGTGCCGGTTACTAAAATTACTAATTAAAATATTTATTTCTAGGCAACCTGTACTTTAAATTATTCCTCAGTCTCGAATTCAGCTGGTTATTATGGGGTGGCTATTCAGATTGAAGACTTCTCATCACCCTCTTCATCTACTCCTTTAAGCAGCATTCCCCTTCAATTCCTGGTCGAAGTCTTTGATTCTGCAAGTGCATGCGCCTCGGCACCAACTTTTATTTCACCAACACCCCCAGACGGAGGATGTTACGAGTCAGTTCAGGGCGTGACTTTTAGTGTAGAAATTCGTATCAGGACTGGAACCAGTAGCCAGTAGTAAGTTAACAATACTTACAAATACTAGTGTCAAGTTGTAAAATAAATAAAGAAAGCAAAAGGCACTCTTTAGGCACAAATTTCTTAAAATTTCAGACTCTTGTAAGTAATGTAATAATCATATAAAAACAGTTTTTACTAAAGTTTCAAAAATATTTAATTATCAAGCATCCAAGAAGTAGCAACGCAATCCCCAGTTGGTGTAACTAAGTCGAACATCCAACCCATCTCCCAGACGGACTATTACCTCACTCTGACGTGGACACCTACCAGCAGTCAACAGGGCTCGTACATCATATGCTTCACAGCTGAAGATAACTTGGGGTGAATGTTAAAATACACAATCAATCTCGAGAAAAAACAACTACAAAACATTTAATATTTCTCTATCTATTGATTCATGTCTCAAAAAAATATAGCATTATGACTACATGACTTTTCTACCTTTCAACAATAAGTAATTTTCATTCCTTTCATTGCTTCTACAGCTTTTTTTTTCCTTCACATTTTACATCTTTTTTCTGAATTTAGATTAACAACGGAATCTAGATGCATAACTTTGAATGCTGTCGGTAAGTATTCTTAATAAAGTGTAAGAGATCAATATCAAGATACATTTAACAATTATTAAGTTAAACAATTAAGATTTCTTACCATTTCTAAATTTTTGACTTAGGTTCAAGTACATTGCCCGCGGTAGTTCTGGGCAGCCAGACACCTTCAGGATCAGTATATGGCGATAACCACCAGTGGTCGCTGAGATATTCAAATTACGTGAGTCAGTAAAGTTCACATTCGTTTTGAAACTTCCCGAAGCTAGCCACTAGTCACTGGTTATTTATACAGCATGCAATATATCTAAATACTGATAATGCATATCTATATCTTGAAAACGCTTCTAAGACAATGCAAGAATGCGATGTAAATAATTCTTTCAAACTGACAGATACTTTCCAAGGAAACTTTCATTTAGAATTCAGTGATCATTCAGTGGACACATTTAAGTAGTAAACATATACATTTTTGTTGCTTAGCAATAATTTCAAAACTGTGACTATGTTTCCTATTCAAGATGGTATGTTCATTTAGCAATTCATTATTCAACATTTGGTCAATTTATTTCGTTCATAAATTATATAATTAAAAAACCGTGGGGTTGTTTCATAGGTTGATTGATTGTCCCATTCGAGAATTTTTCACTCATATAGAGACGTCACCATATAACCGGTGAAAGACTTCAAATTAGACCTTTACTCGGCACTCTGGGCCATTGAGCAATGAGGGTTCTTTATCGTACCAACGCCTACCGTGACACAGGACCTCTTTTTTTAAGGTCTCATAGATTTGACGCGGCGAGGCAATCGAGAATCGAACCCAGGCTTCCCTATCAGGAATCGCACGCCCACCACTAGGCTACTGTAACCGGTTTAAATGGGTCAAGAAAAATCTAGTGTCTTGAAATTAAATCACGGTTACTTTTGCATGGGTATTGTTTGTACGTGCAATTGTAAAAAAAAAATGTTAATTTGCAAATGTCATTCAATGTATACATGTATGATTCCAGTCGCATATTGGCTGGCCCCGTTTTTCGGAGTCCACCTGTGTACCTCAGTACTACACACAGTTTGTTTCTTTATTACAAAAAAAATATCCACATTTATTTTTAACAAAAAAGACAGGAAATCAAGTAAATTTTGTATCCCTATCAGATTTTTAAAAATATTCTTTCTGATCGCAAACAGTTCAAAAATATAGCTATTCAGCTTACATGTGAAGACAAAGTGACAAACACCTTGTGCCTTTTCATTTCCTTGTTAAAGGTTTAAGGATTGGTTTCAAGGCGCAAAGCGATCTCTTTTAAGAATTTTGAATCGATATGATGGCATTCCGGTAATCAAATCTGACTTAAAATTTTCTTATGTTAGATATTCCAGGTATAATTTCTTCTGCAAACTTTTAAAAAAGCTAGATGTGTTTTTATCATCAGACTTTCATGTTTGGATCAAAACTTTTAATATCTTAAGATGATTGAAAAGTGATTTTATAAATATCAAATTTTACATTGTAAAGCGTAAAACCGTTCACGGTAGCTCATTCGGTAGAGCGCTCGCTCCGTGATCGGGAGGTCGTGAGGTCGAATCTCGGCCGCGACTGACCTAAGTCGATAAAAAATGGGTAGCAACTGTTCCTTCGCCATGCGCTCGGCACTTTGAAGTGAAAAGTGCGGGTTCTTCGGATGAGACCTTAAAAACCGAGGTCCCGTGTCACGACAGGCGTTGGTACGATAAAGATCCCTCACTGCTCAATGGCCCTGAGTAGCCGAGTAAAGGTCAAAATTTGAAGCTTTTCACCGGTATATGGTGACGTTTCTATATGAGTGAAAAATTCTCGAATGGGACGTTAAACAACATACATTCAACCAATCAATGTAAAGCGTAAAATATCTCTTCAATCAATGAATTTAAATGAAAGGTTCAAAGAGCAATTGAAAATTTAACTTTTCAATCCTTGAATTTTAACTTAAACAGTTTTTTTTTTAAAGAAAGGTCTTGAATCTTTGAAACGTAAGTATTTCTAGTGAAAACAAGATGTTTGTAAAACACTGATGGCACCGTATGACAACTTATAGCGAAGGTTAAACGTTCTCAAATGCAAATCAAATATGTTGGTACCCAAAGTAAGGTTTTGTCTCGAGAAATGTACATGTGAAATATGAAAGCCCAAGCACCAACCATTTAAAAGATATGGAAAAGATTAAAGTTTTTCAAAGTCAGAAATCAAGGTCAAAATTAACGGTGCTCAAGGAAAGGCCTTTTCACAAGAAATACACATGTGAAATATGAAAGCCCTTGCACCAACTGTTCAAAAGTTATAGCCAAAGTTAAAGTTTGTCAAAAGTAGGTCAAACTCCAAGGTCAAAGGGTCAAAGTTGTTGGTATCCAAAGTAAGGTCTTGTCACAGTGATAACATATGTGAAGTATTAAAGCCCTAGCACCAACTGTTCAAAAGTAATGGCCAATGTTAAAGTTGGGTAAAATTTTGCAAAACTTGGTCAATTGTAGGTCATACTCCAAAGGGTCAAAGTTGTTGGTATCCAAAGTAAGCTCTTGTCACAATGATAACATGTGTTCAAGAATAATGGCCAAGATTTAAAGTTGGGTAAAATTTTGCAAAACTGGGTCAAAAGTAGGTCAAACTCCAAGGCCAAGGTCAAAAGGTCAAATATGATGAAACACAAAGAAAGGTATTGTCACAAGGAATAGACATGTATAATATGAAGCCATAGCTCCAACCAATCAAAAGTTATAGGGTAAAGTTAAAGTTTTGCTGACAAACAGACAGAAATACAGACGGACGGACGGACAGACAGACAGACCAAAATTAATATCCCCCACTTTCAGTGAAAGCTTGTCGAAGGAAAGTGTCTACCCCCCCCCCTTCCCCCGACCACCACCCCACCAAGCAAAATATTCAATTATCTTAAGGAAAAAATGTGCAAACCATTTATTATGTAGATTCATGGACAGAATGAAAACACTCTTATTTCCATCTGCCTAACGATCCCAGACATAAAGTCTGGTTTTCGGCTCTAGCAAATGCAAATTGTCCTCGAACCCAGTCAAGTTAAAAAAATAGGAAATCATTCGCATATTTAATATTTCCAATCAGCTATCATTCTCTTACCATTCAATTTCTTTGAGTGAAAAGAGAAATTTTACCGTGTGATACTTTGCAGTTTGTGCGCCCTTCATCATCCGCGTTTATCAGAATTTACGAATCAAATGGTTTATTGGTGGAACGGATTGATGTCACATCTTCATCTGTTGTTTACCCACAATCCACCAGTGGAAGACAATTGTCATTCACTACTAATTATAACTACCAAAGAGGGCGTTCCTATTATATACAGTTTGACGAAGGTATGAACGTATAAAGTATCAAATGAGTTGTTTTAACGAACATTGGAGCATTGGTTAGTTCCCAAGACCAAGTCTGCCAAAGGGTTGTGTTAGATTTCCAATGCTCATTTGGAGGCTATTGTAGGTCGTCATCATTGATATAAATAGACGAAACTTAATTCAAAACATTTTCCGTTGCTTTGCAGTTTAGAAGTAACATTTCAGAAATACATTTATTATATATTTCTACATGTATAATAATAAAATAATATAAGTATATTGATATGCTAAATGAAATACATTTATTTATTGGTTACATTATCTATAAAATGGTATTACATATAACGAGGATTAGCAGACATTTTGAACCCATATCTATTATTATTCATTCTACGATGGGAAGAGCAAAATTCTTTCTATCCTGTGTGTTCTCGACAGTAAATAAAGTTTATAAATTGTAAATTTTTAAAAGTATATTTTTCTCTTTTTTCAACTCCAGGAGTAGCCAATAGAGAACTCGGTTGCAGTGTAAAATCTCCGGCAATCGTGAGCACTACATTTTGGACATTCTCAATATGTAAGTATTTTCATTAATCATCTGAAAGAATATTTTAATTCGATTGCCACACAATGTTGTAATGTAATGACACAAAAAATTAACAAACTCTGAATTTAATCCTATGACAATTAAATATTAATAGCTTGTAAACACAATATTTATGATTTCTTGTAGATTACGTCCGTTGCAGTGACAATCCTTGTAGAAACAGTTACCTATGTACTGATCTGGTGGGAGATTACTCCTGTCAGTGTTACCCGGGATTCACGGATAAGAATTGTACCACAAGTAAGACAAAGATACAATGTTCCAAGTGAATTCTATTTACAATTGACATAACTGTTCTATATAGTCTCAAAAATTAGAACAAAGAACAATAATAACAATGAAATGCGATATATGTATTTTTTCTATTTAAAACATTTCATTTAAAAACCGCAAGTTTTTAAACTTCATCAGTTAGCTAATGAAAAGATGAAGCCCTATGTTTCTCCTGTTTTTGAAATATTTTAAATTAATTCGATGGAGCTTCTATGAATTACCTGCTTCTTTTAGATGTCAATGAATGTTCATCTAACCCCTGTCGGAATGGCGGTACCTGTGTAGACGGAGTCAATTCTTTCTCATGTCTTTGTGATTTTGATCACTATGGGCCTTTTTGTGGTGAACGTACGTATGCTACAGTCATTTTGCAATGCGCAGAATAAATTGTAAATATGGCATAACACTGCCTATGTTGGTGTAATAAATAAAATTCCTTTTGAACATTACTTTCAATACAAAATACAATTTCCGTTTATGTGTCTCAATCTTAGGTTACACAAGATGTCGAGACCATCCCTGTGAAAACAATGCCACGTGTTCTGACGTTACCAACGGTTACATGTGCCATTGCTCTAATGGTTATACAGGCGTGAATTGTTCCACTAGTAAGAGGAACTTACCCTTAACTCCCTACAAATCTACACTGTATTTAAAACTTCAGCACTTTTAATTTACAAAAGTTAATTTGTATATTATTTACATATTTTAGACATTGATGAATGCACCTCTAACCCTTGCCGAAATGGTGGCACTTGTGTTGACAGAATCAATTCTTTCTCCTGTCTTTGTGACATTGACCACTATGGACCGGTTTGCAGTGAACGTGCGTATATATACATGTATTTAATTAAATATTTGCAGTAAACAATCTAAATCTTGACGATTAAATCTGAAAATTTAAGAAATCCCTAATAAATCATAATACATTTTTGAGGAAGCTGAACATTTTTAAGGTTACATAAGATGCCGAGACCATCCTTGTGAAAACAACGCGACATGTTCTGATGAAATAAGTGGGTACAGGTGTCAGTGCCCAAGAGGATTCACAGACGTGAATTGTTCAACTGGTTTGTTCTACCTATCTAGTAGTCATTTTAAAATTTAAAATTAAGATCAGAGTAGGAATTATATATATATATATATATATATATATATATATATATATATATATATATATATATATATATATGTGTGTGTGTGTGTGTGTGGGTTTGGGTGTGTGGGTGTATGTATATGTACATGGGTGTGTCTGTGTGTTTTCTGCTATTTGATAATTGTGATAATTGATTTATTTTTTCAAATCCTAAAGGAAGGATTCTTGTCATATAACTAATTTATATCTTGAAGTATTTTTCCATCAATGATCTCTATATGGAGATGTTAGGATTTTATAATTTCATATTTTCTTTCCTTCTAGAAATTTTGACAAAGAAATGGTATATTGAAGTAAATTAAATTTATAAGGGACTTAAGTCTGTAATGTATTAAATTGAAAAGATTTTTCAAGCGGTCACACGATGCGATTTTTCATTCGATTATCATTTGACTAACTCAGGTAAGTCGAATGGAGTCGATTGGTGGGTCGGTCACACGATACGATTTTACATTCGATTTACAAACGATTTTGACGAGAAACGAACAGGTACGTGTTGTTGATGTTGACGTACACAGTATGCCACTGATCACTTCACCAGGCTAGATGAAGCACATAAATCGCACATAAAAATGCGCGCAAATAATTTATTATTTTCTAATTCTGCACAAAACGTCTTTAAGAAAGAACCTGAACTAGACGTTGGTTTACAAACAAAGGTGACGTAGGTATGCAACAAACTTTAACCTTGTCCAGTTCACGAAACAATATTAATGATTACAAAAAACATCGCCTTTTTATTAACAATTTACTAAAGGTGAAATAATTATTGGGAAGTTGATCATTCTGTTTAGAATGACTGGGTACATAGAAAATCAAGTTCATCAGACTCCCTACAAAAGTTGACCAAAATTGTAAAAAAGTGAATCTTTGGTGGGTACGTAAAGGATGTTATCTTTCTTAGAAAATAATTTTAAAAACGCTACTGATAGTATGCAAACCAATTATCGAAATGTTTTGGAAAAAAGATTGTTGATTATTGTGGGAAAAAATGATTGTGCAAGAGAGGCATCAGCTATACCCCCCCCCCCCCTAAATTTACGATCAAATTGTGTACTGTCTATATAATGTATTGTATTTGCATGTATTCTTATTACAAACGTTCGCAAAGAAATTCGTGATTTATTTAAATTCAAGTAAACGTGTTTAATTATAAAAAAAAAAATTGGAATTTTTATTGTCTAGAATTCAAAACTGTATGGACAATTATGAAGTGGTCGACTATATAAGGTTTTCTGCATCTTGGTATATTGATATGTTGCATAGATCTAAATTTACAGCGAAACAAGTGTACGAAGATCTCATTTTAATCGGATTTTAATTATTAACATGCGTGCTAATTTTATTTACCCCCTTTTTTTGAAAAATATGATAATTTGAAAGAAGATTTTTCTAATTTAACTCGGTTTTAAAAAAGTGGGGGAAAAAGTTTTTTGTTTTTGTGTTTGTTTTTATCATAAAGGAGAGTCTTTAAAGACATGAATCTCCGTGCTCGCAAACTATGGTGAACGTTTGGTATGATGTATTTTATATAATCATCAACGTGTTCTCAATAATTGCTGTTTTTGGTTATTTTTTTTATTTTGGAAAATTTTTATATAATTATTCATAACACACTTAAGTATAATGACTGTTTTTTTTAAAAAAAGACACCTATTCTGATTTTTTTAGCTCACCTAAGCCGAAGGCTCAAGTGAGCTTTTCTGATCAAAATTTGTCCGTTGTCTGTCGTTGTCGGTGTCGGCGTCGTTGTAAACTTTTCACAATTTCATCTTCTTCTCCAGAACTACTGGGCCAATTTCAACCAAACTTGTCACAAAATATTCTTGGGTGAATTTTAAGGGAATTCAAGTTTGTTCAAATGAAGGGCCACGCCCTCTTTCAAGGGTAGCTAATAAAGAATTAGTGAAAAATTAATAGCATCTTTTAAATTCTTCTTCTCAGGAACGAAAGAGCCAAGAAAGATGAAACTCACGTGGAAGCATCCTCAGGTAGTGTAGATTCAAATTTGTTCAAATCATGACTTCAGGGATAGGGCTGGGCCACAATGGAGGATCAAAGTTTTACATAGAAATATATAGGAAAAATCTTTAAAAATCTTCTTCTCAAGAACAGCAAAGCCATGATGAGTCATATTTATATGGAAGCATCCTCAGGCAATGTAGATTCAAATTTGTTCAAATCATGAATCCCCCCCCCCCCCGGGGGTAGGGCGGGGCCACAATGGAGTATCAAAGTTTTACATAGAAATATATAGGAAAAACCTTTAAAAATCTTCTTCGCATGAACAGCAAAGCCATGATGAGTCGTATTTATGTGGAAGCATCCTCAGATAGTGTAGATTCAAGTTTGTTCAAATCATGACCCCCCGGGGGTAGGGCGGGGCCACAATGGAGTATCAAAGTTTCACATAGAAATAGGAAAAATTTAAAAATCTTCTCAAGAACAGCAAAGCCCTGATTTATCATAATTATGAAGAAGCATACTCAGGTAGCGTAGATTCTATTTTGTTCAAATCATGATCCCCCGGGGGAAGGGTGGGGCCACAATGGAGGATCAAAGTCATAAATGGAAATATATAGGAAAATATGATGAAGAACTGCAAAGCCATCATTAGTCATTTTGATATGGAAGCATCCTCAGGTAGTGTAGATTCAAGTTTGTTAAAATGATGATCCCCGGGAATAGGGTCGGGCCACAATGCGGGATCAAAAATTTTACATAAGAACATATAGAAAAATTATTTCTTCTCAAGAACGAAAAAGCTATGTTTAGTCATATTGATATGGAAGCATTCTTAGGTAGTGTAGATTCAAGTTTGTTCAAATGATGACCCCTGGGATAGGGAGGAGCCACAATGGGGGATCAAATTTTTACAAAGGAATATATGGGAATTTTTTTTTAAATCTCAGATACAACAAAGCCATTTGTTATATTGAGTTATATTGACATGGAAGCATCATCAGGTAGTTTAAAATTCAAGCGCCCCCCCCCTCCCGGTAATCTTTTCAATACTGAACTGATTTGTGCTTTTGCCAAGCCAATGTGCTCAGGTGAGCGATGTGGCCTATGGGCCTCTTGTTTAATTTTTTGTCGCTGGGAATGTCATTGTGACGTCACGATTCTTATTAGAAATTCGATTGAAAATCGGCCGCCATCCGATTTCCAATCGACTATCAGATTTTGCTTTTCGACTTGAGTGGTCACACGGTACGATTTTAGTTGAAAGCAAATCGAATGAAAAAATCGGATGAAAAATCGCATCGTGTGACCGCACGGTCAATTTTTATCTGAAATGATAACAACACTTACTAATTTTATCTTCTTGAAAATATTATGAATTAAAAAATAATAATAAATATGAAAAGAATCCATCCTTAAGTAAAAATAAAAAAAATTTTCCCGACCTTTGGTTTCTTTAAATTTGCATAACGAAAGCTTACTTTCAGATATCGATGAATGTGAAACTGGTCCTTGTAAAAACAATGCATCCTGTTTAGACGGAATAGATTCGTACACATGTCATTGTTATCCGGGATTTTATGGGGAAAACTGCACGGAAAGTAAGCATATTGTACAGAAATCGACTCTTACAGTTCACATTTTATATGTACTTAAAACGGGTAACGCTCATCAAAGAAATACATGTAACAGAAGCATATTGATAATGGTGTTGAGTGTCACAATAAAGGTAATTTTTCTTCATTATTAGGGTAAGACTTCCACAAATATGATTTGAAAATAGGCAAGAACATCTACCGTTAAGAAGTAAATTTAACATATACTGTTAAATTGAAGATAACGAATCAATTAATATCATTAATACAATAAACAATACGAAAAGTAACACATCAGAACACAAACCTCTTGATATAGTTTGAAACATGAAATGTGGGATCAGTTGCCTCTGAGGAATAAACATCCCCTGTAACAGTTTACTGCTTAGTTTGCCATTAAGGTCTATGGCCAGTATCACATTCACATATGAAATAAATATGGAAAACTTTGAGGCATGTTTTGATTTCATGTTCCTTTGTTCATCGGGATATATATCGGAAAGACATCTAAATGAAAGAAACTATTGTTAATTGATAAAAAGTCGTCGATATCTTAATATATCCAATGGAAAGCCAGAACGGAGTTTTCTTTCTTCTTCTCATGAATGTAATCTTTAATAAATTCCTTTTCGTAAGAGTAACAAAAAGCAAGCCGGATAATGAAAACAAAATGCACATTCGAATTCCTACAGATTTTTGGGAGACCTTATCTTCAGAAGTTATACATAGACATTGTTAAGTAAATGATGAACTCCAGCATCTTTTTAATATCAGTGTATGTAGAATCAGAATTATTTTTAGCAAAATAATTTTGTAGATGACCAGTCACAAGATATGAAAATTTCGAGTTTATTTTTTATTGATTAAAACAGTTTTCTATGATGTTAAAAATCTTAGTCTTTAACTTGTATGAGGAATGGTTGTACAAAGTGTTGAAAAGCCATTCATCCTGATGACAAAATTTTATTCCAGATTTAAAAAAAAATGTGGAGCTTAGTAGCACAGAACATCCGATGTTTCTCTTCACAGAAGTGAATATTTCTCTTCACAGAAGTTAAGATTTTAATGAGAAGTAAAAATAGTGGCTTAGTAGAGCATTTACAAGACCCTGCACCTGTCTTAGTATCTTCAGATTTAAATGACTTTTAAAATCCAGTATTGTTGTGGTAAAAAAAAATCACTTCTGTAGCTAAAGTAACATTGCATATACATGTACTAGCATGTAAATTATACATATGAAATACATATTGAAATAACTTCCTTGTCTTGAGCTTCAAAAATTATACATGAAATGTATTCTTGAGAACATTTAAAGAAGAAATATTCCTGTATGGCTTCTTAGATCCTTTTTTTTCTTTCAAAGGGAATTTGGTGAGACTAAAGGATGGAAGTACTCCATATCAAGGGCGTGTCGAAATCTTCAATGATGGGGTCTGGGGAACCGTGTGTGACGATCACTGGGATGACAATGACGCCGCTGTTGTTTGTGGAATGCTGGGTTTCTCAAGGTTATACAACGTGTATATATATATATATATATATATATATATATATATATATATATATATATATATATATATATATATATATATATATATTTATACAGTTGAACATCGGTATCTCGAACACGGATATCTCGAATACCATGGATATGTCGAAGTGATTGTAAAGTTCAAAGCCCTTTTTCTTTAAGTAACCCTCGATATCTAGAACCCACGCTTATCTCGAAGTTTTTTCTCGGTCCCATCGAGTTTGAGATAAAGAGGTTTGACTGTTTATATAAATAAATATATATATATATATATATATATATATATATATATATATATATATATATATATATATATATATATATATATATATACTGAGAAAATGTTTGAAATTTTCTTTATTGATACTCTCAATGCAAGCGTTATACTTTTTCAACGTCGAGAGAGAAAGATTGATTGATTGTTTATTGTTTAACGCCGAGTCGGCAATATTTAAGCCATATTTCGGCGGAAAATTAAGTTTATTTGACCGGTATTTGAAAGGTTTTTGGTTTCTCTGGCGGTCCCCAGTGAGGCTACTCTTTTTCGAAATCCAGAGAAACCATCTTTTACTTGCCAAGGGGGTTATTATCCTTGACACGGGGCACCATTTAATGTCCCATCCGACGGACTTAAAATTTAACAAGAGCACCGCTAAGCGGAGCATCCCCTCGCGCCAGGAACTTCACTGGTAATGGCAATGTCTCCATACGAGAGAAAAATTCTCAAGAAGGACGTAAAACAAGATACAATTATCTAGGCTTAGTAATCAAGGGTACCCAGTATTACTATATAAAGTTTAAAATAAGGTTAAGACGTTAAAATGTATTGCAACACTAATTAAATTTTAACAAAAGTCAATGTGGATATCATCGGGGGGGGGGGGGGTCATAACAAGCATACGTGATCGGACAGTTTCCCTTATTCCTAGCAGAAACATATCACGTATGCTATAAATTTCATTAATTTACTTACCTGGGTAAACCTTACAGTAGCATGCAATATGCATCAAATCTGAAAATACGCACGGAAGTAATATTTTATTTTGTAGTGAAAAATGACAAGTTTGAGATGTCAATGAAACTTGTGAAACTTTATATTTATAGCTTTCAATTATGTGCGCCTCAAGATTAAATTCCACAAGCCCCTATTGTAAACACACACGTGTGGTGATTTGGTACTGAAAATGCGACGTTCATCAAATTATTTCATTTACTCAGTGACAGAGATGACACTTTTAATTCATACAAACTTTCTCAAGATGCGCAATAATATGACAATACGCGAATACCAAGTAGAACTTACCGAAGCGGCTCTATCGAAACGCCCCGAATTTTAACCTGTTAAATTTACCGGAAGTGAGCATTGTCAACTCGTACATAAAATTGCTGGGTTTGAAGGTAGTAAAAACGCGATATTTTAAGAACTATATTACCGATTAACTTGAAAATGAATAGGGTTCGTCCTTTTACAATGCCACTTAAGTATGTGAAGACTGAGAGATGATAGTGCAAAGATTCTCTTTAAATCTTGTCCACAAGGTGTAACGGACACACTAACACACTAACACACACACATACGCACAGTAGCGATGCTATATCCCCTCTGCAACTAGTTGCGCGAGGGGATAAAAATGTGTAAACTGTTAAAAAAATAAATTGCTCTATGTATTTCTCATCAAAATTTATAAAATTATTCACTTCTAAATTTTATTGTAAAAATCAGTTTCATGTAAATATTCCAAATTTGTATTAACATTTATATTTGTAAAAAAAAAAAAAATCATACATTTTTCTCACATTATCAAAAAGTCTACTTCGAATAGGCGAAGAATCAGAGAGAGAGATTATTATTATTCTTAACAAAAGCATTATTTATACCCCTTCAAAATTCTGAGAGAGAGAAAGAGAGAGAGAGAGAGAAAGAGTGAGAAACTAAAATTAAAATGCTTCAAAATTTCTCACGAATTATTTCAAAAGTAGTTAGATGTCATTGTTATAAAATTCTATGCATGAAAAACGCATTTATTGTGTGGATCTGTTCCTTCATAGCTAATTTTAACAATAAATAAATTATTTTTTGTAGAAATAATGCAAAAGGACTATGTTGTGAAGTTTATGGCAAAGGAGGGCCTCAGATTTGGCTAGATAACGTGGGATGTCTGGGAACTGAACAAGATATTTTCCATTGCCAACACATAGGATGGGGAAATCATAATTGTGACAATCATGAAGATGCAGCTGTTGTATGCTCACCCAACGGTGTGTTATTTTTCTTCTTTTCTGGTAATTCGGCATGTCAGTATTGTATTGTGATGTTTCTATAAATATTTTCGTTTATATTCCTATTAGATAAGCCTATAAGACTTGTTGGGGGACACACCCCATATGAAGGAAGACTTGAAATTTATTACAATGGAGAATGGGGAACAGTCTGCGATGACTACTGGGATGAGAAAGATACTGCAGTGGTTTGTCAATCATTGGGATTTTCATCGTGAGTTAATTCACATATTCTAGAAACAAATGACCTATAATCAATTGAAATCATAAGAGAGAGAGAGAGAGAGAGAGAGTGCTAAATGTAATTGTTATATTCCAATATGCTTACAATTTCTTATTTTCATATGTATGTCTTTAGAAAAAATGCAGTTAGTATGTGTTGTGCTCAGTTTGGAGAAGGAACGGGTCCCATACTTTTGGACGATGTGGATTGCTTGGGAATAGAGACAGATATTGGACAATGCAAACACAGAGGATGGACAGTCCATAATTGTCAACATTTAGAAGATGTGTCTATTCGTTGTTCACCTAATGAAGGTTTGAGTGGTTGCAATATCATTTTGTTAGGTTCATTTGATTGGACTTGTATATAAAATAGGGGTGTGTATCAAAAATTGAGTGAATCTAGATCTAAATGGATGTGTCTCTTCTGAGGATTGGCAGGGTGCAAGAGTACCTATTTGTAAGCATGGCCACTAGACACACTGTACATGAAATATGGAGATAACGAAAAGTAATTAAGCTCAAAAGCCCATGGAAACAATGCAAATCGGGAGTAGAACAAACGGGAACCTCTAAAATATCAGAAGTGAGATCAGGTGCCCTGGAGGAGTAAGCAACTCCCGCTGACCGGTCACAACCGCCGTGTGCTACTTGCCATGATCGGGCAAATGGAGAAATCCGTAAACAATTCAGTGTTTAAATAATGGCCTAACAATTAGTTTGAAAAACTTCAGTCTGCATTGGACTAAATGATAGATTGTATTTGTGACAGGGTCATTGTATAGACCATAGAACTTGCGAAATAATGACTTTAAACGAGATTGCTGATATCCTTGTTTCATCAACTTGTTTGTCAACAGCTTTCATACTTGTTCATACTTGATAGAAATTATTCTTTATATTTTTTAAGAAGATCTGCTGGTTAATTTGTTGATCACACAGCCTCCTTAAAACGTTCAAATTTTTTTTTGTGATTTTCTTAACAAAACAAGTATATTTTTGTAATATTGAAATAATTAAAAACACATTCTATATATATTACGAAATCACTTATTTTCGAGGCGGTTTAATTTTGTTTAAAGTCGTTTTCGTTGTATGAAGTGACTCACGAATTCCTCGACGAAATGTAACATTTCAAATAAATTACGACTCAGCACTGTCAATCATGAAACCAAATCCTCACGAACCAATATTTGTCAAACCACAAAGATTTGACTCAATCAAAATCAGAGATTTTACAACATTGAGCTCATTGATATTATGATACAGGTAAATTGGTCAGAGAAGAAAAAGGTATATTAAAAATATTTGTTTTCATAAACATTGTTAATAACATTCTATTATTTAAGTTTTTCACAACAGTTTCAAAAAATATTTTATTGAATGTTATCCACAAGTAATAATTTCCTAATAAGAAATATAAAATCACATATACGATATTTTATAGACTCATCAACTACTTTTTCTACGACACTGACAACAAAGCCGAGAGAATCAACTTCACCGTCAACAACTCCTGGATCAACAACCACAATGATGATAACGACAGAGGAAAGAGATACAACATCAATCACCGAAATCTCCAGTATGTAATTTTTGCAGACTACAACTATGTATTTTTGATAAAATTATTAGTATCTTTCATGGTCTGAATTTTCATTCATGTAATAGATGTGATTCTTGTTTATTTAAACATATTATACTTTTTTATTTTAAATAATTTGTTTTCCAGACAAAACAGTTCGACTTGTTGGAGGAGCCACACCCTATGAGGGTAGAGTTGAAATTTACTACAATGGAGAATGGGGAACAGTTTGTGATGACAGTTTGGAGAGAAATGGTCATGGTTTTTGGAATAGCTCTTTATCTAAAGTGATATGTCGATCTTTGGGATTTTCCTCGTAAGAATTTAATAACATATAATAAATTTTGGCCTTAATTCCACTTTTTAAAGAGAATTTTCCGATTGAATCAAATTTTTCAAATCAGAAATTTTTTTTATGATACATGTGTGTGTTCCTTTGCCTTATTTTTATATGACTGTATTTCCGAATTGGGGAAGCTAAGCTCCTCCCTCTCTTTGCACTATATGAACAAGTACATTATCCGCATTTGAGTGTTAAATTAATGATTTATTACAACTGTACATATTTTTATATTCAAAATTTGCTTCAAATTAGTGTTACTGTACATTTTGTATGATTATATAAAACAAAACAAGATGTTCTGCGAGTACTAAGGTCATAAAATGATACACCGGCTCCCATATATGAGTATTATAGCAAAGTCTATTTTTTGCTTTGGGAAACCCCAAATAACTCTCCAATCAAAACATAAAATTGAAGGGTACATCATGGCAATTTTTAATAAAAATTCTATGAATGTCTCGTAAAATTTTATTACGTAGTATAGGAGGAGTTGCAGACAAGAGATGAGAATCCCCGATATATTAGAAAGAATGGCAGTGTCCATGATTTGTTATGTTGAACCCAAATTATCTGTCCGATCGAAACAAAAAAAATAAAAGGTGCGCAATGGCACTATGTTATAAGATTTTTTGAGTCTCATTAAGTTTCCTTTAGTGGAATAAGAGGAGTTGCGGATAAGAGATTAAAACCCCAGTGTTATAGAAAGAGTAGCATGATCATGTTCTGTATGGGAAACCCAAATATCTGTTTAATCGAAACGTAATATAAAAGGTGCACATTGATAAAGATTCTGTGAAAAGCGCATTAAATTTTATTAGTGATATAGAGAAGTTGTGGATAAAAGATGGGTACCCCATATAATAAAAAGAATGACAGTGTCCATGGTTTGCTACGGGAAACCCCAAACCCCTAATAATTGTCCGATCGAAAAGCAAAATAGAAGATGCATAATTTCACATATATGTAATAAAGACTTTTTGAAAATCTCATTAAATTTTATTAAGTGGAACAGGAGGAGTTACGAATAACAGATGGATACGCCCAATGTTATATAAAGAGCGGTAGTCTACACGTGTTGCTGTGGGAAACCCAAAATTTTTATGGGAATAAAAGCATAAAATAGGAAGTGCACAACAACACTACGTATTAAAGATTCTGTGTGAAATTCATTTAATTTTATTCAGTGGTGTAGAAGGAGGTTGGAACCCAAAGTGTTACAGACAAACGGAAGGACATAAAGAAGGACGAACAGATGGACACCCTCATCACTGATATAATTATACATTTATTTCCTATGTAGCTTGTAACATTAGATTTGATTGGCTTAAACCGGGTTTAAATTTGGTTTAAATTTCCGTATACCCGTCTTCAGCCGAGCGTAAAGAAAATGACATCACGGTGCATTGTTGCACGTAGTAAATCATATTGATAGTTTGAAACACCATGGTTTGGACTTGGGCTTAAAAAGAATTTTTTGGTCAGGCCATCATTAAATATATCTTAGTTTCCCCTAACCCGACCCTAAAATCTCAAGATGGGTAGGTAGGTAGACAAATAATTTTTTTTTGACAGCAGCTTTGAAAATACATTCTTAAAATTTAATGGAATGATGTCTTTATAAATAAGTTAAAAACAAAAGAAAGTGATTTGTAAACAGCTAGAATACCATACAAATGCAGTTTAAACTCAACATTAAGGTAAATTAATTCACAACTATTATTCAATCGAACCATCTCATACCAGAGTAAATTTGTTAAAAATCGAATACATCTGTTTAAAAGATTCTCGGGTACGCAAAGACTGGACACCAGAGTATTTTTTTTATACCTACTATCAGCTTCCATTGCTTTGTACTTTTTCAAGGGCTTCGAATTGTGAGTTGCTTCTAGAGCATTTCGATTTGGAGTCTCGAAATAAAGAGCTATTTCTAAGTTGCAGGTTCAAATCCCAGTGCGGGACGTTGAGACCAGTTCTTCGAATGGCACAGTAAAAACTTAGGTCCAGTTACGCATTAGATACTGGCACGGGAAAAACAATCCTCACTGCTTATGGCCTTAAGTGCCGCGTACACGTCTAGATTTGGAGTCCTTCACCAACAATTATCAAAGAGATTCAAATCAAAGAAACAACCAATCTTCCAAGGCCTTATTAAAGAAAAATACTAGTACACGGACGTCTCAGGAAGCTTGTATCATAATTTCAAATCTATTTCGAAAAAGCATGTTAACAATATTTAATTGAGGCAAACAATATCTAAAAATGATAACATGTCATACACAATGTCAAAGTTACGAAGTTTAACCATAATTAAAAGGCAGGAATACAGGACATTTGAATTCTATTTAATATTAGGATGAAATAGCAGATTTATGTACAACTCCTATGGTCCCATATAGTAAACATTGGAATATTGATGAACTGTGTATAAGATCAAAACGCAAATTAAATAAAATGCAATGAAACTGATTGGTGTTTTCACAAGGTGGGCCCCTTGTCTGCTCATGAGCGGTATCATGAGGAGGGCCTACGGGCCTAAGCATGCTCTCTACGTACCTTAATTTTAAGACAGGCTAGTAAATACAACCCAAACACTTTCAATTAGTCATTGTATATTATATTTTATAAACAAAGGGTTTCAAGAGTGCAGGATTCTAATATGCTAAAGGCATAAGGTTGATGCGTTGCCTTTTCTTTTAAAACACGAACTAACCCTCCGTGACCATATGTTGTAGGCGCTATTTTGTTTCAAATAAATGCTTGAAAATCACAGAAAAAAATCATTCGATCTGATTAAAAACAGATTTGATGGAATTTTATTTTATAGAAGTTGATAAACATAAAAAAGTATTTGAATAATCTTAGGAAAAAAAACTTTCCAGTCGCCCGTTTTAATATGGGTCGGTCGCGTTAGAGGAAACAAAGGTATTTTTTATTTTGGCCTCACATAGGAAAATTTCGTTTTCCAGGTACAATAAAGGATGTACGGGGAATTGATTGAACCTGGATCTCTAATAGTACCTCCCACTTTTCAAGCAGAGGATATAATAAACGGAAAACTCAAAACGTACAAAAGTTAATGAAAAAAACGTATGATAACGGCAAAACCTGAAAGATTACCTACACGATAACACAAGATGCACACGTAATGAAACCCAGTATAGTTTACATGAATATATATAAGGTTGCTGTAAACGTACGTTGTCATAAAGCACGCTATTCATTTTGTATGTAATGGTTTTGTGCAGCGGATATCGGCCTGGGTAGTTCAGTAGGAAGAGCACCTGACTAGTGATTCAGGGGCCCCGGGTTCGATTTCCGGTCCAGCCCAACATTTTTCTCCTTTCCTGTTACATAATTTGGTGCCGTTGACCACCCCTAGACTTGCATTTGAAAGTCCTGTCCGGGGCAAAAAGAACTTGGGTTGTGTCTTCGAGGGCGAGGACAATTTAAGGAGGGGGGAATGTAATGGTTGTGGGCCGTGGATATCGGCCTGGGTAGCTCAGTAGGTAGAGCACCTGACTAGTGATTCAGGGGTCCCGGGCTTGATATCCGGTCCACCAGTACATTTTCTCCTTCCCCATTACATGTTATTGCTTGAAACGGTGCAATGTGTACATAAAATGTTATAGCCTTGTTAAATTCTTCAGGCAAACAACAGTGAGTTTTTGCTGTGCACGCTGTGGAGAAGGTACAGGTCCTATATGGTTGGATGATGTCCGCTGCAATGGAGACGAATCATCTATTGAGAAAT